TAATTCCGGATACTCGGAAGGTAGAGGCGGAAGGATCGCCGGAGCCCAGCAGGTCGAGGTTGTGGTGGTTGGGAGCGGCCACTTCAGTCCAGTATGAGCTACAGAGTGAGACTCCAACTAAAAAAAAAAAAAAAAAAAGCATAACCTAAATCTAATAATGAAGACATATCAGAGAAGCCCAATTTTAGAAATATCCTTAAAAGGTAAGTGGTTTGCGGCTGGGCGTCGTGACTCAAGCCTGTAATGCCAGCAATTTGGAAGGCTGAAGCGAGATGGGAGGATCTCTTCAGGCCAGAAGTTTGAGCCCAGCCTGAGCAACACAGCAAGATCTTGTTACATTTAAAAAAAAAAATTAAATTAAATTAGCCAGGAATGGTGGCGCATGCCTGTAGTCCTAGCTACTTAGGAGACTGAGTTGCACTTAGGAACACTAGACAGCACTTCAGCACTATGTTTGTGGGCCATTTCAGACAGTGAAATCTCCATCAAAAAGCACAAAAATTAGGAAAAAACGTGGCACTATAGAGAATGTAAAAAGAACACTTACAGTATGAGTGCTTTAAAAAAGAAGGCAGAGCATCACTTGCTTTAACCTCACCTGGGAACATGTGCTTTGAATAACTTAAATTTTTTGTAGCTCTATGTATGTCCTAAGATGACTGAGAAAGAACACAGAGAATTAATTTGAGGATTATAAATAAATTTCAGTAAGTAGGTAGATTCACAAATATAGACTCCATTAATAATGAAGACAATGAATAATAAGGATCAACTATATATATATTCACACATACGAGGGGGACCCCAAAAAAACCCAGGATTATCTTTTGAAGGGAAGGCTCCTTGTAGTACAGGCTTCCCTAACTAGGTAAGTATTCTAGGAACCCATTGGCATCAGTGCACCAGCTAGTGTGGTTGAGAGGCTGCATTTGGCTTCAATGAATTTTGGATAATTTTTTTAAAACTTTTTGGAGATTCTTTCAACACATTTGCCCATTTCATAACCGGTGTGATTTATGAGCACACCTGTCCAGGCCATACTGAGTGTCAGCAGTTTTTGACCAAAAATGGCATGACCCCCATGCCCCACCGTTCCTGCTCACCCGCTATCGCGTTGTGACTTTTTGTTTTGCTTCCCTGGATGAAAAAATTGCTCAGAGGGAAACATTTTGCCTATGTGAAAGAGGTGAAACAAAAAATGGTAGGAGTACTAAAAGGCGTCAAAACTAATTACTTCAAAAACTGTTCTGAGCAGTGGAAAAAGCGTCTTGATAGGTGTATTGTGTCAAATGGAGAGTACTTTGAAGGTGTCTAAAGTTTAACCATGTAAGAATATACAATTTTAAATAAATAAATTCCAGTATATGATATGCACATATACATCTAGAAAGAGAGAGCAAAGAAAGAGAATAAGACAAATATAGAATGTTGATAACAGAAGAATCTAGAAAAAAAAGGTATACAGGAGTTCTTTGTTCTATTCTTGCAACTTTTCTGTAGGTTTGAAATTATTTCAAAATAAAGGCTTCAAAAAAATTAAATAAGGCTTTCAACCTACTCACTTTAAAACAAAATGAAAAGAAGCCCTTGAAACAGCTAATTGTGGAAGAAGTACTGAGATAGTCCTCTTTTGAAATTCTGCCAAATAATCAACTCCTAGTCTACACTCCACAGAGGGAAGAAGCCCAAGTCTAAAGGCACTTGTGTCCTCATTGCTCTCTTCTTTCATCAGTCTCTCTGGACAGCTGAAGAACTACTTAACAGCCCCAGAAATTTAAAGACCATAAAGATATTAACATTGGTGTAAATGCGATATCCCCAGAAATCTGAGTTATTCTAGTAAAATCAACATTTAAAGGACAGGATCACAAACTGAAACTCTCTATTTGTTCATTTACATATTTATCTGCCCATTTACATAACATAATCAGTCTCCCTTAACCTATCTGTAAATTCCATGATAACTGGGGCCATTTTTATTCACTAATGTATAGTCAGGCCCTAACACACTGCCTGGTACAGAGTAGGTACCTGATAAACACTTCCTGAATTATGGAAGGAGGGAAAGGCAAAAGGAAGGAAAGGACTAAAGAAATATGAAATAGAAGACAATGTCAGCAAGTCAAAAGTCATAAAGAAGCAGGTAAGGAGCCTGGTTGGCTTAATTAAAAATATAGGGATACATGCTTGGGGAAGTGGCACACACCTATTATCCCAGCTACTTAGGAGCCTGAGGTGACAAGATCACTTGAGGTCAGGAACATAAGGCTACAATGTGCAATGACTGCACCAATGAAAAGCCACTGCACTCCAGCCTGGGCAACACAGTGAGACTCTTTCTCTTAAAAAAAAAAAAAGTTTGGGTTTTTTTTTTAAAGAAAGCAGGATTTATTGAGAGGACAGAAAAGCTCCCACTGTGGGAGGGGACCCAAGGGGGTTGCCCAAGTTTTTAAATATAGGAATAAAATTACTTTTTAAAAAAATGTAAGCCGGGCTCGGTGGCTCAGCCTGTAATCCCGCGCCTTTGGGAGGCTGAGGTGAGTGGACTGCCTGAGCCCGCGGGTTCGAGACCCACCTGGGCAGCGAGACCTCATCTCTACAATAAATCAAAAAAAATCAGCCGGGCGTGGTAGCGCACGCCTGTAGTTCCGGCTACTTGGAAGGCTGAGGCGGAAGGATCACTGGAGCCCAGCAGGTCGAGGCTGCGGTGGCCGGGAGCGGTCACTACACACAGTCTGGGCGACAGTGAGACTCCAATTAAAAAAAAAAAATGTAAATGAGGAAAGAAATAAAGAAAAATGGAAGTGAGGCTAAAAACAGAATTTGAAAGTGTTCATCCAAAAGTACCCAGGGAAAGGCATGCCCTGACCAATTCATTTAACTAGTTTACTTAGCAGGTATATCTCTCTAGTGCGTGTTTGTTATCTGTTCTGTATCATGAACCTACTATCCACCGAACAGCACAGCTAGGCCTAGGGATACAAAGACAAATACGTACTTAATATTTAGATATCTCACAGTGAGAAAACTAGATGTCACAGCTTACAGCAAATACAGGATACTGACACATGTCCAATATCCGTGCTCCCCTTTTTTCACAGAATAGAATTTTTGGCTGGGCACATAGCTGCCCAGAATAAATACTACATTCCTCAGCATCCTCTTTTACCAACTTCAAAAATTAAATTCTGACTAGGAGAGTATAGCAGCAGCTTCCTGTAATCTGCCTTTAAAACCAGTCAGTGCACACTCTTTCTTTTCTTCCTCTATCACGCATCCTGGAATGGCTGTGAACTTGGCCAGGAGGATGAGGACCACATCCTAGAGATGGTGGAGTGGAGAG